TTCTCTGGCTGCTTTCCAAACACAAAGGCAGAGGGAGAAGCTACCAGTCAAAAGTGCAACAGAGGCAGGCCCGTGCCAGAAAGCTCCAATACTGTGTGCTGGTGATGTCAGACTCCAGCACGCTGGGCTCGTAAACACAAAGGAGATCCGTAAAGGCTTTTTCCATCCTGGTGTGCAAGCCTTGGTGGTGGTTTGCATTTGCTGGTAGCATAAAGGAAGTTGGTGAGACACTGTAGGACTGGGTTGTCACATTGTGTTGTAATCTGAGGATTTGTGTCTTAGCTTTCCCCTGCCTTACTGCCAGTAAGCATCCTGCGAGCTTTGGGGAATAAGTTTCTTTAGTTAAATGGTGTCTTTAATTTTCTAAGATTAATCCATTCAATGGCCGCAAACCACAAGGCTTCCCACAGGCAACCTTCAGAATCGATAGTTTTGAATGCTAAGGACTCTAAAAATAATCAATTGAGGTGTCAGAAAGGGATCGGGTGCTGTGGGGGAAAGGACTGGTTTTCATTCTTTGGGCATTAGCCTTCTCTGTCTCTCCCTGTGCGCTGATACTTCAAATTCCTAGAGCTTGCCCTCCCTCCCCTCCTCCTCCCTGCTCTCCCTGACCCTCTGCATTCCTGGGAAGTGCTGCCCTGCTGCTCACTGTTGGGCCTCTGCTTGGCCCTTCCGGAAGTCACCTCCCTCCCCTCCAAAGTCAGTTGCCTGTCTGTACCCTTCAGGGCTCAGGTCTCCCTGCTTCCTGGAGTGACCTATCTTTTAGTCTGTGGATCAGGTCGTGTGTGCAGCTTGCTCTTTGGGTTGTCTCTTTCTTCTGCATAGAATGTACTCTCGTTATAATATATCGTTGTATTTTTAACCTTTCTTCTTTCCAAGGGGAGGAACACACCATCTCTCCACGCCTAGCACCCCAGGAAGTCACTCTCTCACAGCCAATGGAAACGCAATGGGGACCCATAAATGAGTCTCCCCCGTTTTGATGCTGTTATTGATCTTGTTGGCTTTCTTCACAAGCAATGGTAGGTTGGAGAAGGAAATAGCATAGGGAGATTCTGGGCTCTGCTCCTGACAGACCTTCTCAGTGGAGTTGTTCACTATGGTTGACCAGTTGCCACGTCCGAGTTGCCTGTTTTCTCTGTTCCCTCTTAGGGATAGCTTATCCGCATGCCGTGGCGTGACCTGAGTTCCAACACTGCTATCTTCCTACGCCCTGCACGTTCAAGTTCTCTCTTGTCCATTGGGAGTTTAGTTTCTGTTCTATTTGCAGTGTTGGGTATACAGTAAGTTTTTTAATGTTATTTTTTTAGTACGTGTATGCATGTGTGTGTTGTCTCTGAGTGCAAGTGCCCTCAGAAGCCAAAGGCACTAGATCCTCCGGGGCTGGAGCTACAAACGGTTGTGAGACACTTGACGTGGGTACTGCGGACTTAATGTGAATCTTTTGCAAGAGCCACCAACACTCTTAACTCCTGGGCCACTTTTTCAGCCTGTAGTAAATTTTCAGTCATTATAATAGTAGCTTATGCTAGGTGCAAATAGGGTCCTGTATATGGGCAAGCCTGTTAGATGCTGGTAACTCACGGATGGAGCAGAACCTATGCATCAGGTGAAGTAAGTATTCTATGTATTTGGAAGGCCATGGGTCATGACTTGGGAGACCTTACCCAGCTCTGTGAACCTCCCAGGAACCCAAGGAGAATCTGCTGGTCCATCACCACAAAATAGCCAAGAGCTCAAGGCTTTGAGCTGTTTCTCGGCAGGAATAAATTCAGAGAGGCTCCATTATTAAGTCTGTTGTCAACTGGCTGCAGCAACCTTTGATGACAATAAAGGGAATGAATTAGTGTTTCCTGTTAGTCTGTTTCACTGGTCTGTGGGTGACTAAGACCATTGTGAACCCGTTGGCAACTTAGGTTGCTGAAACTTTGGGGAGCACCGCTTGGCGAGGCACAGTGCCGCAACAGCCTTGGCTTTGGGGACTATTTAGATCTGATTTCAAGCCGTTCCAGAGTTGGGCTGCCGTAACGTGGATCTCACCCTCCTGTCGGCTTCATCCTTCGAGCGGGATGGTCACACTTCAGAAAGTTGCTTTACCACTGTGATTTGTTTCGTCCTTTCTCAGTCTGACCTCAAACTTGAGCTCCCCGTGTGGCAGCCTCCTGGGTGCTGGGATTGCAGGTGTGTCCGGAGACCATTTCAAAAGCAGAGTCTCTATGTTCCCGGCACATAGTAAGCACTCTGTCTGCACTTGCTATTGTTTCCACAGACACTCTGGAGAATCACAGTGGCTTGTCCCAAGACTGGGCTGGGTTTGTCAACCGCGACTGCCGATGTATCCAGTATCAGAACCAGCGCAGAGCTCTTTGTCCCTCAGAGCTTCCGGGTGGAGGGTGCTGGGAGCAGGGGACCAGCGCAGAGGAAGAAGGAGCTGCCAGCTCTAAGGTGGAGCTTATGACCTCATCCCACATGGAACTCACCAGGAACGCAAGGGCATTTCACCTCATTTTCTGGCTTGTGTCGGGGATGGTTTTGCAGTCCTAAATTGCATTCAGCAAGCAGTTAATAATTGCAGAGCCTGATACCTTCACTGAGCTCTGTTCTTGAAATTCTAATGGGTCTGAATTGGGTCTTCCAAAAACCCAGACTCTTTTGGGAATAAGACAAGGGTACTTGCTGTATGTTTTTGCTTTGGGAACATTTCCTCTTTCCCTCCTTCTAACCTTTCCCATGCACTCCCCCGTTCTCTCTCAAACTATGGTCTCCACTTCTTTAATTATTGTCACACATATGTATATGTATTCCTAAATTTATCCATATGATCTGCTTAGTTTGTATATTTACATGTATGGGTGTTTCAGGGCTGATCATTTGGTGCTGGATAATCAATTCATGTGCTCTGCGGATGACCCTTTCCCCTGCCCTCAGCAATCCTTAGTGGCTTGTAGTTCTTCTACACCGAAAGTTGAGGCCCCCGTGAGCTTTACCCCAACCCCCCTAACTTGTCTACTGGCGCCATCTTCCTCCAGGTATTGCTTAGGCAGCCACGCTGGTGAGACCTCGTGTGTGTGGCTTCTGACATGTCTAGGAGATGAAATCTCACCGCACACTTCCCGTTCTCCTGGCTCTTGTAGTATCTCTCTTCCTTCCCCATCATCTCCCGCAATGATTCCTGAGGCTTAGGTGCAGGAGTTTTATTATAGACAGACCAGTTGGGTTTGGCAACACCCGGTCACTTATTCTCGGCATGTTGATTGGTTGTGACTGCTGTGATGGTCTCTGTCTGTTGTTTCTTTGAAGAAGGATGGTATATATCTATCTGTGGGATAGGGATACATATTTATGAATTATCCTGATTCAGTAAAGTGACAGTTGCTGATCCTCCTCCTTTAGCTATGAGTAGCACTGGATGGTTGGCTAGGTTTCCAGTGCCAAGCATGATGCCTTCTTGGCGAATGATCCTCGTGTCCAATTAGAGAGCTGCTGGTTATTGCCAAGATGTGCGATCTAGTATGGCTCCCTTTGGACTGTTGCGCCATGCTAATCACTGCTTCGGTTCATGGGCACCGTAGCTGAGTAAGACCGTCAGTTGCTTCCCGCCCTTGGGTGCTTACTTACATGGTGCCTTCTGGCGTCATAAAAACCAGTCCCCAGGGAGGACTTTCAGGTCAGAACCACCTCAGATCTTGTGTCTCAGGTCTTGTGTCTGAACTTCATGGTATTTTCAGCAATCAGGACAAACCTTCAGCGTCTGGGGGGCAAACGAGGGTAACAGCGATAGCCTGTACTGTTTTGGCAGTCCCTTAGACCATCTTGACTAACGACTCAAAGGGGGGCTCATCATGGCTCTTGAGGGGGAGCGTTGTCAACCCAGGTGGGAATATACAGACACAGACATATACAGACACATACGTGCGCACACACACACACACACACACACACACACACACACACACAGAGAGAGAGAGAGAGAGGCTGACTTGACCAATCTACACCGCTCCTCAGCATATGAAGGTCTCATCACCCTGCTCAGGCTTGCTCAATGCTGCTGTGCTCCCAATGGCTGGGAAATGGAAGCAAACTAAGTGGCCCTCAATCGATGAACAGATCATGAGAACAGGAATCCTACACACTATGGGACGATCATTCAGCTGTAAAGAAAGAATGAAATTATGAAATTTTCAGGTAAATGGATGAACTATAAAAAGACCACACTGAGTGAGGTAACCCAGGCCCAGAAGGACAAACATCACACTCTCTCCTTCATCGGAGGCTCCTAGCTCCGAATCTTCAGAGGTGAAGATTTCACAGAAGCTGGAGTAACTGCAGGAACCAGAGAAGCAGAAAGGGACCATGGGTAGGGGAGAAATAAGAGAAGAGCAGGGTACAATTGATTTGAATGGGGATACGGGGGTCTTTAATTAGGGAGGGGAGAAGGAGGTTAACACAGAGGAAGTGAGGAGCATAGAGCAACAGTAAGAATGTCTGAAACACTCCATTCTCTATCTACCTAAAACTATATGTAACGCATGTAAGTCTTGGCACCTGTTATATTGATTATTGTGGTCATGTATCCATTAAAAGGAAGGTCAGGAAATAACTTCCGAATTGATGTCTGTGTGGAGATTTCATTAAAGCCATATGGTGTTTGCAAAGGCAAACTTTTTAATAATTTGAGATGATAAGTCTACAGATTCCACGCTGGATTGATTGGTTTGGCTACTCACTCGGAGCCCATTCCCTAGCCTCAGGGAGGGCGATAAGCTGATGAAAGGGAGCGGTGGACTGGGGATCCCAGACCAGAAGCTTCTCTCTCCTGAGTCTCTCCGACTGCAGGCTCCCCTGTGTGATAGCAGGCGGTCCCTTTGACCGCAGCCTACTGTGTGTGTGAGTGTGCGCCTAGCTCGTTCCCTGGAATTCTCCCATGGAAAAGCAAAGGAAGGAAGCTGAGGGGAGGATGGGGCGATCGCATCCTGTCCCTTTCCCAGGGAGTGGCCACAACTGCCTCTGCAGAAGGGACCTAACGTGACAGGCTTTGTCACTTAGGATGCCCGAGCAGTAACAAGACTTGGTGTGTGGCCAGGGTGGCTCAGTGTTTTTCTTCGCGGGACAGGACTATTCTGTCGAGGTCACTGTTAGTCCCTACCTAGAATTCCATTTGTAGAGCATCAGAGGACACGGGGAGAGGCAGGGGCATCAGCGAAGTGGCACACTCCGAGAGCCACCCAAGGACTCCAGATCGGCCGTGGCTTTGGTTCTGGCTGCTGTGTGATGGAGCTGTCAAGTGGCTAGACCAGGTGCACAGTGTTAGGTAGAATGTGCCTTTTCCCTCTTGCTGCTGCTTATGCCTGCTTCGAGCTGACGGATCCTGCCGCGCAAAGGCAGAGAGGAACTCTCTGTGACTGTTGAAGGTAAGCTGTAGGAAAATTCTGTGGGATGAATTTCATTCCTACCTGATATCTGCTCTGTTTGGGTTTCTGTTCTCTCTGCCTTTCACTCCGAGAAGTTCTTTAATGGAGTCCTCTCCATGGGTAATGGGTGGTTATTAGCGAACTGGGCGGTGTGTTTGTCGCATTTAGTTAATTGACAACTCAATGCCGGGGAGAGCAGGTCTGGGGAGAGCAGGCCTGGGGTTAAGACAGGAAACCTCTGTAGTAAACAGGAAGTCCCATCATTGAATTCTGGAGCCCCCCAGTTCGAGGGGAGTGCTTTACTTGAGAGGTAAGTACTGCTCCCTCCAAGAGTGCTTTGGAAAGTGGCCGAGATTGAGTCTAAAAGATAATATCAAAATGGATTATCTGTCCCTGGAGAAGATTGTTTTTTTTAAAAAATGAAATTTAAAGCTCTCATCTTTCAGGGAACGAGGTGTTAGCGTCCATTTCTTCTCAAAGTAAACGGTCTGTGGGCAAGCATGTGGGGACCATGGATTTAATGATAATCTTAAAATTAAAAATAAAGAGGATTATCTTTGAGTGACACAAGGAGGTAGACAGACAGAGACACACAGAGAGAAACAGGATTTTACGTATTCCAGGTTGGCTGTGATGTTGCTAGATAGCCAAGGATGAGTTTGAACTTACGATGCTCTGCCTCTATTTCCTCAGTCCTGGGCTTAACTGATGTTGACACTGCCTAATTTATGTGATTCCAGGGACCAAACCTAGGGCTTTATGTGCGAGGCAAGGACTCTTTTCCGTTGACTTTTGCTCCTGTCTCTGGAAATTATCTTTTGTAATAATTAGAATAAAGAAAGGAGGATGTGTAATCAAAACCCACGATCATTGCTGGTGACTTTCTATACACACGCTGCTGAAAAATCAATCTGTTTCCTTGTGTGGGGAAGAGGAGAGCGCCCCCAGGTGTTCTTAGGAGACTTGATTTAAGACTCATTAGGCACCAAGTGGCGTCCATTGCAGAACCAGTCAGGTCTGCCAAGTTGTGTATTTCGGGGCAGTTTCCAATTACTGTACAGCGTACTGACACCCAAGGGCATGTCTTGGATGCACAGCCTTGTGGCAAGTGTTGGTCAAAAAAGCAGAGGCTTTGGCTGGGGAGGTGGCCCAACTGAGTACCTGAGTTCAGATCCCCAGAACCTGTGTAGAATGTTGGGTGCCACAGCGCATGCCTGTAACTCCAATGCGGGGGTGGGGGGGAAGACAATTCTGAAGCTCATGGCTCAGCCATTCTAGCCAACTGGTGAGCTCCAGTTTCAATGGCAGAACCTGAAGCGCAAAAGATAAGGTACAGAGTGATTAACATAGTCTGTGCTGGTCTCTGATCTTCACCACCCCTTCCTAATTATTCAGATGCTTACCCTGATATCTGACTTTTTATTGATTTCTTATTGATAAGATTAATTAGGTAATGCTTCCCTATGTGTGCTGCGTTTTTTGTATATTCCTGCACTCAACATACACATACGAAGAAAGAGGAAGTTTCAGAAGCAAAAATAACCACGCTTTTATTTTTATTTATTTATATTTAATGAGAAATTAGACAAAATTAAAAACAAAAGCTGGGAAGCTGGAGAGAGAGAGAGAGAGAGAGAGAGAGAGAGAGAGAGAGAGCTGGGTTGGTAAAGTACTTGTCTCTGAAGCATGTAGATCTGAGTTTGACCACCAGAACCCTTGTTTTTTGTTTTTTGTTTTTTTTTTAAAAAAAAAAGGCCTGGGTGTAGTGGTGGTTTGTGCTTTCTATTGCCGAGTCAGCATGGAGATAGGACCACCCCTGGGGCTCACTAGCCAGCCAAAGGGTGAGCTGTAGGCCAATGGGGGGCCTTGTCTCTGTTCCCGAGGGTGACACCTGATTTTGTCCTCTGGCTTCCAGATACATGCATCCAAACATCCATGCAAACACACACCACAAAGCAAAATTAAAAACTAAAATATGAAAACACGGGAAGTGAGGGTGAAGAAATGGGCACTGGCCGATGACAGTCAGCCCCCTTTGAAAGAAGACTGAAGGAGATGAAAAACTGGACAGACGCTCCTTACTCTTACGATGTGCCTGGCTTGCACGGTTTGTTCGAATCCTCCTCGCAGCCCTTCTAAGCCAGATACTGTGAGCACTTTATAGACTAAAGACACAGAGCTCGTGTCCTAGAAAGGAGGGATGCGGCTGAGCTACTACGGTAATTCCAGGAACTGTAGTCATATTGCTGCAGTCAGAGTATGGTACCCATTGTGTCTGCAGGGTGGGCGCTGTACCTAAAAGAATGCGCACATCTCTGGGCACATCGAGGGTCCGTTTGGACTCGGTACCGGTGATGTCTTACACTGAGGGTTCTGCTAAATGATGGAGCTTTCTGTTTGGACTAAGGTTGAGCATGGGGAATGCTGGCCTTGGTGAACTTGTTTGGGTAAAGAGGGGGCATGTGGTCGACATAGAGTATGGACCTACAGGACGGTGGACTGATGTGGAGAGGCACCGTGCGCTGCAGAACTCGAGGCAGAGCCTCGTTCGTGGTTGTTTGCCTTAAGGGTGGGTGTTTACGCGTCCCGCAGCTCTCTGCACGGGGCAGACGACAGGAAGCGCTGTGTGTTCAGGTTCAGGCTGGAGGACCAGTGTCTGCCTGTTCCTAGAATCAGGGACTGTCCTCCTCCCTCTACAGGTTGCTCTGCGTACAACAGGCAGGGTTGTTGCTTTTTATTGCAGGTCGCTTCCGTTCCCTGCTTAAGTTTCCAGTAAGTGACGATTCGGCATCCTCAGCATGGATGCCGGCTGTGGTGCGGACAGACAGTGATGTGGAGCATATAATGAAGCATTTATCTAATTAATCTTATCAATAAAAAAATCAGGAGTCAGATATCAGGGTAAGAATCTGAATGATCGGAGAAGAGGTGGTGAAGTGACCAGTGGACTATCTCCTTTTTTCCCCTCCTCCCTCCCTTCTCCCTTCCCTCTCTCCCTCTCTCTTCTCCCCTCTCTCCCTCCCTCCCTCCCCCCCTCCCCCCCTCTCTGTCACAGTTGTTCCTTGATCCAGAAGAAGCCAAGACCCTCTCTAAGCCCCACCCTACTACTTCCTGTCTCTTCTCTTATTTCTCTCTCTCTCTCTCTCTCTCTCTCTCTCTCTCTCTCTCTCTCTCTCTGTCCTCAGGCCTCCAGAACCTTATGGCTAATTTTGGTAGCTCTGCCGATTATTCAAAGTAAACTTTATTGGCAGTCTCGGGAGTTTCAGAATGAGATCGAAACATCACACAACATATACGAACATAATCTTTGGAGCAAGGTCCTGGACTTGCTATGTGGGTACTATAGTCCTTTTTTTTTTTCTTGTTTTATTTTTTTTTAATATTTATTTACTTATTATGTATACAATATCCTTTCTGCATGTATGCCTGAAGGCCAGAAGAGGTCACTAGACCTTACTACAGATGGTTGTGAGCCACCATGTGGTTGCTGGGAATTGAACTCAGGACCTTTGGAAGAGCAGGCAATGCTCTTAACCACTGAGCCATCTCTCCAGCCCCCCTTAGACCTGTTTCTTAACCTCCCTGGCATTACCTCGGAGAGCTGGTGGTGGTTCAATGAGCTGACAGAATTAAACCGCTGGGACAGTGCCTGGCTCCTGCCATTCTGTTTTTGTGTATCTAATTACGGCCACTTGTCGCACCAGAACAAAATCTCCACAAGAGCAGAGCCTTTTCCTTCTTTGTATCCCATCTGAATCCTTACCACATGGAACACGGCCCGGCAGATAGTGGATCCCCAATAAGTATTTGTTGAATTAAGCTTTAACACATGTCGTTTTCTTTATCTTCTCGAGAATCGTTATTTCCTTTTGGTTTTTTGGAGTGTTAAATTGCTTAACTATCTCTGACCTGTGACTGTGTTGCCACAAATTCAAGCCTGTAGAAAAAAAAATTTTCCTGTATTTTTTAATTATTGTTTTCGTTAATATACAAAATGATGGATTATGAGGTGGATATTCTCATATGTCGTTATACTTTACCCACACTCTCTCTGAATTCTTCTTTGCTCTTTCAAACTCCTGCTACTCTGCTTCCTTCCTTTAAATGGTCTTTATCCCCCTTATGCTTCTGTGTTTCCTGTATGTGTGTGTGTAAATGTACTAAACGGGGTCAGATATGTGTGTGCAAATGTATTAA